ACCGTTGGTTTTCTACCGTTGGTTTTCTACCGGACATATCCTGTTTTTCGATAGTTTTATGTATGCTTTTTCATCCATTGTATTCTTCTAAGAGTCTGCTATTTTCTTTATTCTCTGTACATATTGTGTGGAACTTGTGTAGTAGTGCAAATAAATTTAAATTAGAAATATCGAAGTGAATGTTGGCGTGAAGTAGATAATTGCTTAATTTTAGTGCTGACATCCTTGTCATGGAACTTATTTTCCCCAAGAACCGGAACAATTCAGGAATCTTTGTTGTCAATTTCCAGTCTCGAAAATGACTACATATTGCGTATTAATGGAAAATAAATGAACATGTGATTGGAAGTAAGGAATGTTACTTTGCAGGTCATCTCACGAATCCGGCTCGGATGGCTTCGGCGAGCGTGAGGCTGCACAGGTGTTTTTCAGTGTAGCCGAAATTATAGCACGCTGCATGGCGAACAAGACCCGCACGAGAAGATTCCTACGCCGCGGTTTGTACGTGGCCCGCCGCCAATTGTACACCTTGGCCACAGTGGAGGAATTCATCAGAGGTAGGCAAACGGTGTAAGGCACTTCACTTTTTCTATTGTCAACTTCAGACGAGGACGTTTTCCTCGATTCTTGATGACTAATGGAGTATAGAATGCACTGCTGGCCTCGTACACAGGTGTTAAGAACACTGCATAATACGCCAAGTCGACGGAAATTGTTTGGAAACCGGAATAAAAACATTTGATTCGTTTTAGTGATATGAGAGTACGTTATTTATTTCTGAACAGCGTGCATGCTTCTTTTTGAACAACCATTTTGTGTGTATTTGGTCAGCAGCGTTAATTCTTCTGCAGGCTAATAGTTTAGTGTATCCTTTCATGTTATCATGTAAGCCTGTTGACGTTAAAATATCACTCGTTACAGACCGTTAAGTTCATTCCGCGAAGCACAGATTCCATACTGTAATACTATTCGTACAAAGTACAAAGCATTTAACATTGCATCAACAATTCAAACTTCTCTGTGGGGTAAGACTTTTTGCAGTTGGAAACTGAAATGTTCCAAATAAATACTAAAGAGTGACAATAACGAAGCTTGTTGCCAAATTGTTACAATATTCGCACACATAACTGTATCAAATACGTTGCCAATATTCAATATATCCAAGAGAGAATGCCGTATCCCAAACCGCTAACCAATATTCCAGGTGATGTCCAATTTATACAGCACAAAATTACAGTTCCTTTGACGAATAACCAAGGCCCTATCCATTCCACATTATTATTATTATTATTATTATTATTATTATTATTATTATTATTATTATTATCAGCCTGGTTTAATCCCATTAAGGGCAAATTCCAAATTCCTCTTACATGTAGGGTCGGTGGTTCACATATTTTAATTTTTACAATTATTGTAGTTTGGTGTACATTATTCGCTAGTTCAGTTTCAATTTCAGTTATTCTGTCTCTTGGTATTCTATACTTTCTAAACACTTCTATCACTTTTCATTTCTTATTCTTCCTAATTCAGTTCACATTTTTACAATTTCTTAACACTGCCGATAAGCTCACTTGGACTGGGCTGTCTTTTTCTCAATGTTAGTTCTCGATTATTTTATTACTTTGTATCTCTTAGTTTGTTCTCATCATTTTCATTTAGTCTATCTCTACACATTTTGGTCTATAGTCTTACGTATAAGGCCTTTCCATGATTCTTTCATGATTCTCTTGACCTCTTACTAAGTTCTTACTTTTAGGTATGGCCTTTTCTTGGTTGTTGCCTTAATGGATCACGTGCTCAAACCTAGGGGACGTTTAAAGTAGTGATATAAACCCTCGGCAATTTGAGGTACTTCCAAGTGGGTCTGCCGCGAGCTGCACTTAGTCAGGTGTTGCCTGCATCCTTCTTGAGTTCGTATGCCTATCTCAGTATTTGTCAGCCTTGATTCCTCCATCCCGTTCTTGGATACCATACTTTTGCTCCGTTTGCCCAACTTTCTTGGCTAAGTCAGGCTTTGTGTTCTCCTCAGTACCATTTTTGTATTTCTGCTTGCAGGGCGACATCTTTTATTTTTGTTTTGTCCAATATGATACAGCTTTTTACATTGCTTATAAGTGTGGTATTCAGAAACCTACGTTCCATAATCCGTTGGTATCTCCTTAGTGATATTTTTTGACTTTCAATTAGTCTATGTTTGTGATCCGTATATTAGAGCAAGGAATACACAGGTGTACATGAAGTTGGATTGTAATGATGTTGGGTTTTACTTAACAAAAACATAGACTAATCTTTTTGTTAAGAAGAATAAAAAAGAGATTCCAAAATTTCTTCCGCTTTCTGTGTTTGATTTCCCGTTGCGTTTTGTTTTTAACTAGTATGTATTGTCCCAGGTATTTATATTCATCTGCATATTCTACTTTTCTTCCTTGTGATGTAACTTGTTGTGGTAGGAAGTTTGTTGTAATTTTAGTTTTGGAGGTGTTAAGTTCTAGAAGCACCTCTTTCAGTGTTTTGGAGGACATGGCGAAGAGTACGATGTGGTCAGCAAAGCAAATAATTTTTATTCTTCTGCCATTTAGGTTAATTTCGTTTTTTTTATTCCAGTGTAGTTTGCGGAATACATCTAGTAAACATGTAAATAATTTGCATGATAACGGATATCCTTGTCTGACATTTCGTTTGTTTTGTTCGTATATCTGTGCTAAAATTCTAATATATTTTCCCCAGATGTCTCTAGATTATAGAGCGCCAAACATAGTGGCACGTTCTACACAGTCAAATACCTTTGAGATATCAATGAAGGCTATGTGGAGCTTTATATTATACTCTTGAAATATCTCAATTATTTGGCTAATAGTTCGCAGATGGACATTTCAAGAATAATTTATTGTATTAAACATTAGACTTATCGGCCTTATGGTGTAGACCGTCTCTAGTTCCGATTTTGTGTACAAGCGTTATGATATTGGATATGCTTTGCCTCGGAATTTCTTCGGTTTCTAGAATATCATAAAATGATCGTATTTCTGTAACCACTTTTTGAGGGCATGCATTCAGGAATTCGTTTAACACCGCCTGGGGGTTTTCGAGGTTTTAATTCTGACAGTGAGTATCTTACTTCACTTATACTTAATTGAGGTCTTTGTTCTTGTTCTTGTTCTTGCAGAGGTGATTTGTGAAGTCGATTTGTAGATTTTCTTTTTTTGTATTTGTTTCGTACCGTTGTTTGTAGTGTTGAGTAGCAACTGAGTTGATTACTTTTCTGTGTTACTGGTTTTATCTTCTTTGTTTTTTACACTAAGGAGCCACTGCTTTTCAGGGTGTTTTTTTTTCTTTGTGACCACTGAATTTGTGTTTTCCATTATCTGGTTTATCATTGTGTTGATGTCTCTTAGGTCTTGGGCTCTTGTATCAAATATTCACATTCTAGCGGACAGTAATTGAACTAATTCAAAATCAACTTCAGAATAGTAGCAGTACCTCTTGGTAATCCTTTAGCTGGAAAATGACGATTGTCACTTGTCTATTGGAGGTTTGTTGTGTCGTATGTGGGGTTTTCTTTTTCGATGGTGATAGATTTGAAGAGATTGTATTTATTCTGATTTTCAAAAATTGGTCTGTTACCACTTTCCATTGATTTGTAGTTTTTTATATTAAATTTTAACTTGCTTTTCTTTGTTACGTTATTCTTAGTCCTGTGTCTGATTGCTGCTTGTATTTTTCTTTCTTGGACACACTTTCACAGCCGCATTTCCCGACGCAGCTGTGAGGTCACTTTCTATACATGTTTTTTTTTAAGTTTTCTTTGCTTTTAATTTGTTTTTGTTTTTCAAGATGAATAGTTTGTCGCTGAAGTTTCTCAATTTTACTCTTATTAATTGCCTGGTTTTCGCGTCTCTACCTTTTAGAGTAGGCACCTTCGATGCTCGAGTTACAACCTAATTCTTTCAGCATTTCTTCTGTTGCCTCTGCTACGTTAAATTCGTTGTTAGCACTTTCCTGTCGTGTTATAACAATGTTGTTTCTTTTTACTTTCTCGCCTTGCGAATTCTTTTTAAGAAGACGAAGTTATGTAATGTGCGCCAGGTAACGCCCAAATTTCGCCAGAAAAAAACTTATTGCTAGGTTCTGCTGGGGTCATTCAGGGGATAAAATCCTCTAACAAGTGGTGTATTCAGAATCAATGTTTTGTTGGTTTTTGACACTGAAAAATTGATTACGGCAAAAACCGCTCTGTCCTTTTGTCTGTCAGTCTGTAGTCCCTAAACCGTTCAGCTTATTTTCTTCAAAATTCATATTTCCTTATTGATCGTAACGAACTAGAGGCTTTGGGAGTTTCTAACGGATATTTTGATGTTGAAAGTTTTTTTACATAAATCGGGCATAGGGTAGTGGTTTGATTTTTCTCATTTTGTGTCTTTAATTTCTGTTAGTATTTCAACTTTTCCTCCGCCAGTAGCCCTGGCGAGGCGGGAGTTAATTTTCTTGTTGGGGTACAACATACGCTGCAGCTCTACGGCTTATGCGGCAAAGAAGGGGGCAGAACATACTTACTAACTTAAACTATGGATGAAGCCGGCACTTTGGCCGGCAACCTAAGATTAACACAAGACTATTCTTCTTCATGCTGATTAGTTTTAGTTTTCTTGGGTATTTTTTTCTTTTTTTCATTCACACGCACATTCACACTCGATTATATTTCCACTAGACACGCACTTTCACACGACACTATATACATCCTAAACACTATTTACAGTATGTGCGCCACGGCGCCGACTTTGCTTCAAGCGTCCGTGGCGGCTAAGCACAATGTGTCCTGGAAGTTGTTACGGGCGGAGCCTCACTCGTCCCGCTGGGAGCCTCACGCCGCTGCTCGCAGAGTTCTGCGAGAAGGGTATTTTTGGGTATATTTTCTTTTCATTCACACGCACATTAACAGTAGATTATATTTTCACTTGACGCAGCACTTTCACACGACACTATTCTGTTAGTATGACAGAGAGTAGTATATTTCTTTGATCGTTTCTGTCATCATTGGCATCTTCATTCTTGGCCTTCGTACACTCTGAGGATCTTCCCACGATGTATTCTCCATGTCGCCTTCAGTATTTGCTGGATTATCTTGTTCAAGTATTTCAAAGTATTTCCGTGGATTTCTTCTAATAGCGGTTTATTCTTATCATTTCAGAGTGCATATTATTCGTCGCCTCGCGTCTAAGTGCGTTGAGTCACTAACAGGACTCTGGATTAGATGTTTCTAGCATGCTTTTAGTGCATTAAGCCACTAATAGGGTTCTTGTTCTTGGGTGCAGGAAATATGATGGCTCGTCTGTAGTTGAAAACTTTCTCGCTGTGTGCGTTGTCTTCACGATCTTAACCTTTAAATAATTCACATTAAGGCGGCGACGTGTCGGTTGCCAAACAGTGTGTCTACCATGCTCTCAACAATATTATTGTGTCCCGTGTCACGCACACAATGCTTTAAACACTATACGCCTCTCTAATCAACTGATAACCTTTTTCGAAGCTGTCAGATAAATACACCTAACAATGTGAAATGCACAGTATCTCGTAAAACAATGCTCACTTACGTAATCAGAAATGCTATCCTCTCCATAATATTAATCACTCGTAATTCGCTACTGCTGATATTCGGCTTTTACTGTCTAAATTATAGTTCACTTTGTTTATAGTGAATTTCTGGGGACTAACATTTATGGTTCACTATATCTGATGATAAGAAAAATAAAAGAGAATTCCTCGATAATGGTTATCTTTTCTAATATAGAGATACAGCAAAATACTGCACAACACGGCATGAAAATTTTAATATATTTATTTGACCTTAAAAAATATATTTTTAATTCTTTGCTTCGTGCATTTTCATTAATTTCTCTAGATCCTCTTGCACTGATGGAACTCCGTCCCACCCTTCGAAGAACCCTTTTAAACCTCTAATAACATACCAGATTCTTTCTGTACTGACATGCCGACAAACGCATCAAACGCTGAATGCAACGCTAATCGCTGAATGAAACATTCCGTGTCCGCCATTTCCACCTCGGGGGAGACGGAGGGTTCGCTGTGACGGAGGGTTCGCTGTGACGGAGGGTTCCAGAAACAATGCTCCTGAGAAATTCTCAAATGGGTATTAAATTGTCAGATGCGCACAATTGTGCTCTAAAAGTTATGTCAAGTCTAAAGAATCGTGTCAGAAATCGTATAAAAAATTTGCTGAAACGTTCTACCAGATTCTTCACTCAATTTTCGTTTTTGCTGAAACACATTATTTACATTCTAATAAAATGAGATCATTCAAGTATAATAGGTGTATTTGCATAAAATTGTGTACGAGATCAAAGAAAAAAGACAAATTTGAAAGAAAATCAAAGTAAAGTCTCATACTGATTCCTTTTGACATAAGTATTTCTCAATTACATACGAAATGAGCCGAGGTAAAAACAAGTTTCAAAAGAACGGAATAGAATTTCAAACCTTCAGCTGTTTGTAAAATGCCCTATTAGGAAAACTTTTACACTAGTTCCTTTTATGATTTTGGTTGTTATTGTGTCTGCTGTTGATGTTAATGAAATAAAATTAATGTCTTTCGAGCATTTCCTTGCCTTCGCCGATATTTTTTAAACCCAGTACAAAATGGAAAATAAATTACACAATCTGAAAATTCCCCTAAATAATGCATTCAATACCGTCAATATTTGTCTGATCGTGTATACTTTCAACAATTCGCGTATTAAAAAAAACACTACATTTCGAGGTTCAGACGATGACGGACAATTAGTATTCCCCCTGTGTCTCTCGGCAGATTCCTGGCGGTCTGTCTTATAAACCTGTGGCGCTTTCTATGTTTTATCGTTGCGGTAAAACGCACAGGGAATGACCTAATGCTAACTGTGTTCACGTATAATAACGCACAGCCGCGGATGGCTCGTGTTTCACAACATTAAACGTCCGTAAGTGGGATGTCACAAATCGATGCCCTGCCTAGCTAGAAACTAGACGCCAGAGAGTGCGTTCGGCAGACGCTCGTTAATTTTAAATGCATTTATTACATGGATGATGCTGCAGTATCTCGAATATGAAATGACATTGAATGGAAAATTTCCTATACTACAAACGTTTAACTCTTTCTAAACACGAGTCGCCGGGACTGAGAAGTAATAGAAGGCAGGAACATTTGTTCACGCCTTTTATTAAGGGAACATTATGCAGAAAGAATTGCTATCTGTTGGAACGATACATCGGCTTCCAGCATTTCCCGCCATAACCATCTGTAATGTATCCGCCATTAATCAATAAGGGTGACAATATGCCGCCTGCGCGAACGGGTGAATGTTATTATAAAGCCTTTTATGTTTAATGTAAAGTGATTAATGTAATGTGTTCAATGTGATGCTGTTTGCAGTACGATTTGGTTTATCTACGGGCAAGGGATCTTAAGTGTATAGTAATTCCTTCTCTTAGTCATCCGCATGAAAGAATGAGAGGGAAACCTGGATCCACACTTTACTTCGACGCCTGAAACGCTGAATTGTTATGTGGCTGATGCCAGTCGCCACAGAAGCCGTTCTCGCTTGTGATTTGTAATTTTTGTTTTATTCTTCTGTTCTAGGGAAGGAGAATAGACGCTGGTATCCCTTTATCAGGAGGCAACTCGACGAGTCGCTGGACTCGCTCGAGAACGTGGTGGATTTTATGAACATGATTGGGGACGAAATAAACCGAGAATCAGCTTGATGGCCGAATAATTTGCCCAAATTTGAAAATATATTATCAAGTGTAATGTTTATTCGTACGCTGCCAAGTACTTTATTATCCAAATAATTAAATTTCATGTGTGAACTGTTTGATCTCAACCACATCCATTTACGGAACGTGTCATGTTTAAGGAACAATGTCTCATTATTCATTCATGCTGTAGCAAATTTAATTGTTGTGACGAGGACATTCACATAACTCTAATGGTGTAAAGTACGGCATTAGATCATTGTAATTCTGTACAGTTGTGGAGTGTAATAAAACGAGTTTCTGATTAATATATTGTTGTTTTAAGCGAGGAGAAAACGCCAACATGTTGCCTACTTCCAGAAACCCAAAATCGTTCACAAAATGGTTTCACTCTTTGCAGTATCCAACTATCCCATCCACGAGCCGAAAGCACAACTCGGCAGTTGGTTGTATTATCACTGGGAGAAAGTTTGCACTTTTTTCGTATGGTTTAAGGATACGCTACCAAAGAGATTTTGGTGGTTTTCGTGGTTGACGGCGGTTGAAGTGAGTTTCATGTCGATGGACGGAGTAACTTAGGAGTTTAGTAATTTACAAAATTCAGCATCACCCTACCTTGGTTCCCTAAATTGATTTCCATTGACAGCTCCTACATTTTTATTTGTTTGCTTCGTGCATTTCCATTAATTTCTCTAGATTCTCTTGCATTGATGGAACACCGTCCCACTCTCCGAAGAACCCTTTTACACGTCTAATAACATATCAGATCCTTTCGGTATTGACATGGCGACAAACGCAGCAAACTATTCACTGAATGAAACATTCAGGGTCCGCCATTTCCACCTCAGGGGAGACGTCTTGGATTATATCCTTATATTTTTATCCCTATATTCTTATTTGTAATGTATGACAAGCGGGACATGGGTTTGAAAAATACAAATACAATTTCTAGTGGAGGGAAACCACTCTTTCGGTATTGTTTTTTTTTTCTTTCAAGAATTCTACATTGTCTATAGTCAACATCACGGAGCACTCTAGGAATAAAAAGTGTCATTTAGAAGTGTCATAATTAATAATAATTTCGTTAACGAACCCCGTCCACTTAGTTCTTTCGAGACACTCGATAAGTAACCAGCACCCGTATATCTCGTATGCCTGTGCCAAAGAAACAACAGGAAATCCCTCCGTCCCAGGCGACCATCTCCAGCAGCAGTCAAGATGGCTCTGTTGACGAGGAACACCACGAGAGTTTCTCTGCAACGTATCTGAAGGAGAGAAAGAAAAACGCGAAAGACGTAATTCCCTACATTGGCTCTCTCGTTGAATTTAAACGGCATTCGTGCACATTCAGAGGAATTTATAATTTCTTGCCATAGAACATCTACAGTCTGCCTTCAGGAAACTCATCATCCCCTTTGTCTTCGCGGGTTAAGCATCTATCGGGTTGATCAAGATGGCGGACTCTATGACCACGGTGAAATCGCGGTACTTATCCTTTAATCTCTGTTCTCTGAGGAACAAAACGTTCGAACCGATCTTCAAACCGTATGAGTGTGGATACATCTATCATCCTTTTCAAAGCGTTGTGTAATATGTACATTCCGTGTCACATTTTGGGCAATGCGCCGTTCCGCGTTTGTCGTCTCCGGCAGGGTGACCCTCGCCCGTGCGGATGCGGAAGCTCACATCGTACACGCAATTTCGAGCGATGTGGCCCCATCGGCAGCATCGCAAACAGAATCGAGGTCTTGCCCACTTTTCCCTTTGGACCTCGGTGGCGAAAGATTTGAGTTGCTTAAGAAAGTAAATTTTTCGCGACGCGACGCTGTCACTGAGGGTGACGGCGAACGTTTCTATGGGCACTTCAACACGCTGCGTTTTGGTGCCTGTTGTATCATTGACCTCACCGGAATCGTGGTTTCTGGCGACCACTGCGGGGCGGTGGCGAGAGGAAAGAAGAGGATACTGGCTACCAGGTCAATATTCAAAAACATCGGCGCTCAATATTCAAAGCATCCACGCTCAATATTCAAAACATCGAATCTCACTATTCAAAACATCGCCCCAAATCATCTAAGTTTGTAAACATCTTAGTTTCTAAACTGATTTATTGAACTTCAATATTGCTGTTAGCGCGAGGGGAAATTTAATTTGAGAAAAGACATGTTAATTAGTTTATATTTAACATTCAACTTAAAAAGCAAAGTAAAGAATAAGAACAATTATCAGATCACCCTGAGAGTCAGAGAGGTTAAAATCATCGCATGGGGGTTAGAACATTCTCAATTCGACGTAGAAGAGTACGGCTAGACGTCAGAAAACCCTACGGCGTACAGGGCATGCAATATTTGATAGCTTCATGTGCCAGAGAGGAAAGGAGTAGTAAATATTTGGCATCAGAGTCATCTCGTGGGTGAAATATAGTCTGTGTAATGATAGTAGTTAAGCTCGCTTCTTGCTACCAGATGAACTGGTAGTCGAATCATTTGTTATTTCATATTTAGCTTTTACAAAATTGTGATTATACGCCTTTTTCATTTATAAAAAAAACTTTAAAAAAGGAAAAAAGTATCAAATACTAAATATAGTTGTTAAAAAACGTTGCATTTACACAAATCGATGATTAAAACATCGATGCTTCTAAGAAAATTTGGTATCCACCCCCTACCCCTACCCAGGCCCGGCAGCCCAATATCCACTTCCCAGGTGCACTCTCTCTTAGCTGAGATTTTTTAAAGTGAAATCAGATATCGCTATCATTAAGATAGGTTACAACTGGAAAGATGTGTGAAGATGATTTCAATTATAACTTAGATTTATGATAGCGAATAGGTTCAACTTAAAATAAAAACCACGTCTGCTAAGAGACAGTGCACCTGATGAGATCTCACAAGCTCAAAACGCGTAGTGCAAGAAGTAGACTTGGTAAAATTCACTGTTGGTGACTACTATTGAGGAAATTATAGAATTGAACTTATGGTATTTGAATGTGAATAAACACGTTGACGTGTTAATAGCCTTTGTATTTGGTTTTTATTTTCTCGCCTTACGATTTCTTCGTAAGAAAAAAGTTATGTACTCGTGCGGCGGAAAACGAATTTTCGACAGAAAAAGTATTATAGTCTGCCTCCGATCACGAAAAGTGAATAAATCCTGTTGCTAAATTTTTAAAAAAGATCTTCTAACACGTGGCGTATCTAGAATCCATGTTTTGTTGGTTATTGATACCGAAAATTCGTTTGACGGTCAAACATCCGTCCGTGGTCAACGATAGCTGCTAAACCATTCAGCCGATTTTCTCCAAAATTGTTATTCCTCAGTCGATTTGCTGATGTCGAGGTCCCTAGATTTTGAATCCGATATTTTAGTTTTGGAGGGTACTTTACATGAACTCACTCAGACATTTTCAAAATTAAGAAATAAGGTCCAATTTTTTCCATTACGTTTTGTTGTTAATAGTGAAAAAGATGTTTAAGAGAATGGTGTAGGTTTTGTTTTTGCTGATATCCCCGATTTTTCGAAAATTGCAACAAAAAAAAAATTAACTACAAAATCTATGTTAGACGATTTTGGCTCAGACAAATTTTCGGGAAGGTCGGCTTGTTAGAGCCTCGCTCAGGGTAGTCATTGGTCACAATATTGCCGAACTTTATCACGCCCGCTGGATATTTTCAAAATTGTCTCCAAAACGGTTCAAATTTTTTTCTTTACATTTCTTGTAACAATGTAGTAAAATACGCATTTAAAAGTGGCATTGGTCCAATTTTTAAGGTTAACTCAGAATTTTCAAAAATTACTAAATTTTGATTTTTCCTTCAAATGAAATTTAGTCTCAATAATTCGTTCTTTCATGAAAGTGAAGCACATTTTTTGGAACTTTTAGGACCGCTTAATATGACGTGCTCTCGTCGCGTGCCTTTCACCACGGAGGTTTCGGGTTCGATTCCCGTAGAATCCCCATAAAACCTCATGTGAAATTTGTTCCAACAGAACGAGTTAACATGTTTCACAAGGGCTAGTCCAAATACTGTGAAGAGTCCTAAACCTTACCACTATCCTTATTCCTTCCCAATAGAGGCCGATAGGTAGATGATGCAAGCGCGAAGCCGCTACCTATCGGCGATTCCCTGACTTGACTGCGACTGACGTGACTTGACTACCCAGCGCCCCCAGAGGGTGCTGGGTACATAATAAAGGAGGATTACTACATGGTGCACTCAACGCTCCTGGGAGCTCGGAGACGCGTTGTGTGTATGGACTTAAAAAAATTTTAAAAATGTGGAATTTAAAAAAATTACAAAAATAAGATTTTTTCAAAAATGGTTCCAAATTGTTTCTTTAAACTTGTGGTAGGATCGTGTTAAATGCAGTCTCTAAGATGACATAAACGCCATATTGCTCTATTCTTTTTTTTAAGAATTTACAAAAAAACTTTTTACTTGATTCTTTAGGTCGTTTATATTTATATTTGTCTCAACACTTTTCTATTAAAATAGCTCCGCATTTTGAGAAACGATAAAATGCCATTTTCTCAAAAGTGGCTCCAAAAATGCGCTTCCAACGTCTAGTGTTAATTGCATCGTTTAAAATGACAAAGTGAATTGTTCTATGTTTTTGAATTTGAAATGTTTTAAATATCTTTATTATTTTATTTAATAGGTAATTATTACAAACAAATTAGATTACTTGATCCTATGTGGCTAGGCCGAAGGCCTTTAAGCCATTACAATACCTACATCCTTTCGCGTTCTAATCTTTCGAATTCTGGTATTCACCCCAAATGGTCTCTCCATCGCATGAAAGCCGCGGAAAAGAGACCACAAGGCACGGCTCAGGAAAAAACCCCTGAAGGAGGAAAAACCTGCCGTCAGAAGCCGAGTACATTCTAATCTATCCGACGTTTATTTTAGCTATTTTATTTTCTGGCGCGGGCGTCCCGCCGTCTCCTTCCAGTGCTTGGCCTCCTCAGCACCTGAAATCAAACGGCGCCACAGAAGATCGTCCGCACCAACGCCTCTGCCCTTACATTTTCGATCCCCCCTTCCCTTCACCCCCCTAATGTGCTTATTACTATGCCAGTTTTATTTTATTTATTGTATTGACCAGTTATTTACCAATTGACTACGACTTATGACTTATTTCTGTTTACTGACTGTTTACTAACTTAACATAAAATTACGTACTTATTGTTAGCTTATTGACTTATTTATTTCTCTCCAGTCTAGGCTCCGCTCAAGCTAACCAGTGCTGTTTTCCCACTCCCTAATTTCAGTTTCCCTAATGGTCCGGACCTTTCCTAAAAATGTTTCTAATTCTTTCATAAATTTAGATCTTTTGTCACCTAAAATGTTTTGGGCGAGCGTTACGTTCCTGTTTAGGAAGTAGTAATTTCCCATTCCCATCCATTTTTTTCTCCATGTTTCGGTTGCACAGCAAATTAAGAGGATGTGGATCCAGTCTTCCCTATCACCGCAAAATATCTCTCATGCCGTTCATATGCACGTTTCCAGTAGTTTGTAAAACTATTGCATTTGTGAGTTAATGTGCCTCAAATGACTTTAAATGAAGTTTATCGAAAACCCAAACATTTTCAGTGGAAAAGAGTTTCAAATATCGCTTTTTCAATAAGGCGTAAACGCCATTTTGTTAAAAAAGCTCCAAATTTTATAATGAAAATTGTCATTTATGACTACTTTTTACTCTTCTTTAATATTTTCAAAGTATTCAAAGTAATACTTCGATTCTTCTATTAGGAAATCGAAAAATTGAGAAAATGTAAAAACAAATGTAGGGTGGCGATAGATGACAGCTGGCAAGAGGATGGTGCAAGAACGTAAAGCCAGTCCACAGCAAGGAACGTACAACATACAAACGTTACGGAGCGTTACCATACTTTACAACGAGATTGTCTGTGGCCTTCTGTAGCACAATGTTTTTCTTTTGTTTTTTCATTTTTCAGTGTTTCCCTTTCCCAAAATCCAGGATGGTATACTTAGTTCTGTTGTGTCGCACCCAATGAGACTAAAGGACTTTTCCCCCAGAAAACAATGGCACAAATTAACAAATTTAACTTTTACAGATTTTCTATACCAACAAAAGACAATCAATACATTAATTGTGTATGCCCTAAATAATTAACGAAGTTAACAAGTTACAATATATTTTTAAATCAGCATAAACAATAATATTTAAAACAAAAACAAGTCGGTTGGACACTATACGACGACGACCAGAAAAACCCTCGGTGTACTTCTGTGAATCTTATTAATATTTCAGAAATTACTACTCAATTATT